TATAATATATAATAATATATAATATGTATATAATATATATGTATAATATATAATGTATATGTATATAATACATATGCATACAATATGCATGTATATATATTATATTTATTATATAATTATATATGTATAATATATAACATGTATATAATATGTTATAATATGAATGGTAGAAGGCAAAGGGACACAAAGGGTAGTAAGATTTTTCCAATGATATTGGTAAAACTGATGACAACAGTAGAATTTAATATTATGCAGATATAAAATGAAATGGCTAGAGCAACCACTGAAAAAGGTAGGAGAAGCACTAAAAAGCATGGTAGATAAGTAAAAGTGGAACTCAAAATAATTCAATATGTCACAGATAAGCAAACACCAAAAATGAGAAAGAATAAATACAAAATGGCAAACTTAAGCCTAAAATATCAACAATTACACTACATGTAAAAGGTCTAAATACATTAATTAAAACAGATTGGCAGAGTGAATTCAAAATGTGTCCTAATTACATGCTATATATAAAAACTTGTTGCAGTGAAAATAAAGGCAGTGAAATATAGGCAATATAGTGCAATATAGGCAGTGAAAAATAAAAGGATAGAAAAGGAAATATTGTGTAAATAATCAAATCAGGAGTGTCTGTATCCACAGCAGACAATGTAAATTTCAGGGCAAAGAAAATTGCCAGAGGTAGAGAATGACATGATGAGTCATTCAGCCAAGAAGCAGTAGCTGTCCTACCAATATATGTACCAAACAACACAGCTCAAATATATGAAGCAAAGAACTGATAAATTGAAAGGTAAAAGAGATAAATGCAAACTCTCTTTTGACAACAGGTAGGATAACTAGGAAACTCAGCAAGGAGGCAGAAGAACTTAACACGTCAATCAACAGAATCCATTCAGCATTTTTGAACTGCTCCACCCCACAGCAGAATGCATGCTCTTTTTAAGTACCCACGGGACATGTACAAAAATAGACCACCTCTTGAGCTCTCAGACAAAGCTCAAGGAATCTAACGGAATTAAAATCATGCAAAGTGTACGTACCAACCGCAATGGAAACAAACTGGAGATCAGTAACCAAAAGATGACAGCAAATTTCCAAGTACATAGGAATGAAGCAACACACCTCGAAACATTCCACTGGTCAAAGAGGAAACTTCAGAGAAACAAGAGTACACCAAACAAGATGAAGATGAACACAGAGCTGAGGGAAATTGATAATACTGAATGCATACATTAAATGCATTCCTAATGCACACATTAGGAAAAAGAAAAAGTCTCCCATCAGCAATCACAGGTCTCACCTGGGAAAAAAAGAAAAATATAAACCCATCAAAAGCAGAAGAAAAGCAATAATTATAAAAGCAACATTAATGAAATAGAAAGCAGAGGAAAAAAATTTAAAAGGCAACTGAAAAAGCTAGTTCTTTAAAAAGCTTAAAAAAAACAACAGGTAGAGTGAAGCATACCTATAATCCCAGCACTCTGGGGGGCTGAGGCAGTTCTAGAACAGCCTGGGCAATTTAGCCACACCTTAAAACAAAATAAAGAATTGAAAAATATGTTGCCATAGCTCTATGTGAAGGCCCTAGGTTTGATCTCCAGACCAAAATAAATAAATAAAGCCTTCTAAAAAACTGCCGAAAAGGAGAAATGAATTGCCAACTGTAGGAATGCAACAGAGGATATTAGTACAGATTCTTTAGCACACAAGAAGAGATAAAAAGGGAGTGCTATGGACAACCCTACCACAATATGAAATAGATCATTTGAATAGCCCTATAACTATTGAGGAAATTGCATTTGCAATTTTAAATCTGCCATAAAAGGGGAAATCTATCCTAGATGGTTTCACTGGAGAAATCTACCAAATATTTGAAGTAGATTAATATTAATTGCATACAGTCTTTTCCAGAAAATAAAAGAAGAGGGAAGACTTCTCTCTTCATGTTATAAACCTAATATTACTCTAATACAAAACCCAAAGTACACACACACAAATAAAATGACAGACCAGCACATCTCATGAATATAGACACATAAATTCTTAACAAAATATTACCAGGTGGAATTCAGCAATATGTAGAATAAATTATGTGCTGTGACCAAGGGGATCTCTTCCAGACATGCACATCTGGCTCAATGTACTCTGATACCATAAAAGGTTAAAGAAGAAAGTCGCAAGATCATATCAAGTGACACAGAAAAAGATTGATAAGAATCAACATTCTTTTGTGCTGTGCCAAAACTCAGATAAATATGAATAGAGGGAATTTTATTTAATTGAAAAAGAACATGAACAAAAACCTACAGCTAATATGATACTGTATGGTGAAGGGGTGGATGTTTTATCTCGAAGGTCAAAACAGGGCCACATCCACTCTCACCACTATGAGTGAACATAATTCTGGGACTTTCAGTGATCAATAAGACAAGAAGAGGAAATCAAAGGCACATAGATCAGAGCCCTTTGCAAGTTATGATCTTCTATGTGGAAAAGTCTCTCCAGGGATCTATGGAAAACAAAACAAAATAACTCATAGAATTAACACATGAATTTGACAAGGCAAAGAATAGAAGCTTAAAACAATACAAAAATCTTCCTGTGGTCAACAATGAATGTATAGACATTGAAATAAAAACTATGATGCTATTTTTAATTGCTAAAAACATGAAATGCTTACATATAAATTAACAAAATTTGCAGGATTTGTATGTTGAAAACTACAGAATGCCGATGAAAGAAATCAAATAAAACCTAAACAAATGGAGAAATATATTTGCATGGATTGCAAGATTCAACACAGCAATATGCGTGTCTAGTGCAATTCTATCAAAATCCCTCCCTAATTTTTATAGATAGGGATAAGATTATTCTAAGGATTATATGGCAAGACAAAGAAACTAAAATACTTAATACAATTTTGACTAAGAAAAAAAAAAGGTG